GAGAGAGAAAGGGGGAGAGAAAGTGGGAGAGAGGGAGAGGGAGAGAGAGGGGGAGAGAGAAAGGGGGAGAGAAAGTGGGAGAGAGGGAGAGGAAGAGAGAGGGGGAGAGAGAAAGGGGGAGAGAAAGTGGGAGAGAGGGAGAGAGAGAAAGGGGGAGAGAAAGTGGGAGAGAGGGAGAGGGAGAGAGGAAAAGAGAGCGCTTCCGCTCATCTCTCCCGTGTTATTCTCCAAAGTTCATGTAAACTTGTTCTTCATTTGATGTAATAATGATGTTGGTTGTTGTTGTTTGTGGAAGCTCCGGTGAATGAGCATTAACTGAGTTTCAAACATCACTTTAAATGGAAGATCCCCATAGGCCCCGCCCACTCGATCGGATCGGCGATCGGTATTGGCCGATACTGATTCCGGCGATCGGCCCCAAAATTGGCGATCGGAGCATCCCTAGCTTTTGAGTTTATTTAGGAGTGTTTTGGGGGTACCTTCTCCAGGACGTGCGGCTCGTCCCTCAGGCAGCGGTTCAGGTCGCTGCGGGCGTACATGCTGAAGTCCTCCACCATCATCTTATCAATCAGCTTCTCCAGCTCACACAGCTGAGAGCCCAGATGTCTGAGGGACACAGAGAAGACAGACGGACATTTAGCTGCAGTTTGTGCGGTTTCTGACTTTAAGTACACAACTTCCTGTACTTAGGCTTTAAAGGTCACATGACATGGTTTGAGAGTCATAATGTGACCATGTCTGACAAACAACATACTAGACAGTTTCATCTAGATGTTGTTGTTGATTAAAAAAAAGCGTTGACATTTTTTTTTTTTTTTTAAATAATTCAGTCACTGCACTTCATTCCATTTTAATCTCATCATGTTCTGGTGCGATGATTCAGCATGATGTTGTTCTCATTGTGCTCACCTGTATTTGACTGAAAAGAGACTGAAATGTTGGCCAAGAAAGATTAATAACAGACTTTCTTTCTATCAGTCAGAAATGATATTAAAATACACTTTTAAAGTGAAGCCAGCTCAGACGACGTTTTTCATGCTAATTCTCTCCTCTATACTTTATGGCTTCTCATTAACCAGCTCAGGAACAGCTTGAGGTATCTTTGCTTCAATTCAAAGGTCATGTCTGAATCTTAATTTCTACATTAGACTGAAAGGAAAAGCAACTTGAGACTAAACCTGAGTGACATTCACACACACCGCACGTGGGGCTTTTTGTAGGAAACTGAGTTGTCACTGCACTTTCAATTTGAATCTCATCATCTACTGCTGTGATGATTCAGCATTATTTAGATTTCATCTGAGCTCAGCTTCCTTCAACTAAGAATAGACAAACAAAAGGTGGCCAAAAAGACTAAAGAGACTTTCTGTCAGCAAAAAATGTGCTTAAAATAAAGGGGAAACATTTTCGTTCTAAAGCGTTTTTTTTTCTTTCTCGCCTGCATACTTTAACGTACCTTGTCATTAATCAATCAAACAGCTCAGGAATAACTTCTCCCACAAAGTAAAGCAGCTCGAGTGGAAGTATCTTTGCCTCAATCAAAGGTAACGTCTGACTGAACCTGAATGCACTAAGCCATGCTTCTGAGGTAACGTGAAGCTGGCTCTTTTCTGCTGTAACAAAGCACATTTCCCCCCTCCTCACCTGAAGCTGTGGACCCCCTGCAGCTCCTGCTGAAGGACCTCCTTGGTGGTGGAGATGAGCTCCAGCGCCCCCATGAACTCAGCGGTGGAGAGCAGCAGCTGCACGGTGGGCTGCGTCTGGTGCACCGCCGCCATCAGCTTCAGTTTGTTGTGCAGCTTCACGCAGTTGTTTCGGGTCAGGTTGGTGCGCAGGGCCCTCAGAGGCCCCTGGACCGTGACCCGGTCGATGGCGGCGATGCGGCCACGCAGGACGGCCACGGCCCGCTGAGTGTCCTGCAGACGGTCCTGGAGGTCGTGCTGAGAGGACATGGCGTGGAAAAACGCATCGGAGCGAAGAGAGATCTGCCGGGCGATGCTCACCTCCACCACGTCCAGGTAGTGGCTCAGCTGAGGGGGAACACAGATCAGGGTTGCAGTCGAATAGTCCAAACATCAGCTCCTATCGTCTTTTCCTATCCACTATTCCTTGACCTCTGTGTGAAACGTCACGGGGTTAAGGAATAGTGGATAGGAGAATTCAAAAGGACTTTATGAAAGTTGACAACAGAGAAACCTATATTCTTCATGACCTAGGTTGGAAGTGAAATCTAAAAGTGAAGTCAAACTTATGCTTGTCGCCCTCCGGTCCACACGTATTAATCCACATGAATCCCAATACGTATTACTGTATGAAAAGATCTTAAAATAAATACAAAAGTACGTCCAGGTAGTGGCTCAGCTGCAGGGGAAATATGATATAGAAGCAGAATACTATGTTGGACAAGAACGTCTATACCAGGGGTCGGCAACCCCTGGCACGCGTGCCAGCATTGGCACGCGGCACCGTAACCAGTGGCACACTAGGAATAAGTGGAATAAGTGTGCAAAATATTTAAATTGTATTTTCGGATCCTGAACGAGACCGCCGCCAGAGCGCGTCTCCCCGTTACCTCCAGAAGGAAGCCATGCACGCAACGCAGCCCCGCTCTCTTTAACTTCAGGTGACTTTCTGCCGCTTTCCTCCGTGGTGCAGTGCTGATCGTTTCACCACGGAGGAAAGCACTTCACTAATTGCAGTACCCATAAGGAGCTGTACAAATGCCGCAGTTTTTGCGTGGCTGTGTATTTAGTTGAAAGCCCAGTGGCGATCTGCTCATCTCTCATCGAAATAATATGCTACAAAGGGGCGGACTGGCCAACTGTGTGTTGAACTTTCCTGTCGGCTCCCAGACCGTAGTCGAGGAGGGAAGAAGCAACAAGCTTCAGGTTCAATAACCCACTTTAGCTTAAATGACTGGAGAGAGGCGAGCTCTTCTTGGGAGGCCGTTGCATTTATTTAGCTGTTCTTCTGTTTCACACAGACCAACTA